TGAACATTTTTTACTGTCATTTGTAGTATCTCCTGCTTTTTCATTGACTCCAGTGGATCTTAAGTTATTGTTCTTTGTCTCATCAAGCAGCTACTGGATTGATTTCTTATGGTTCCTTCCTAGTTTTGAGAAATCTTTCTTTTCTTGGTCGCTAACTATAAGCCTGTCTTCAACATCTGAGATCCTGTACTCACAATAGCCCTGAAGCAGGATAATGTCTCTGCTTCAAATTCTTTCAATGGAGTTTTTATTTTTCTGGATATCTGCTTAAATCTGATTTACGGATTGCATTTCCTTCCTATGCTGAGCTTCCATAATTTTCTTAAACTCGTCTATCTTTTTGTCTGTGTCTGCTCTAACATTGCTAAGCATGGTGGGTATTTTGGTAATCTCTGTAGTTACATGAGGGATAATTTCTGATTTCATTTTTCCAGGGCCTCATTCAATTGCTTTATTGTTACCACTTCAGGGAGGCCTGATGGGGGCTTTCAGACTGTCCCACTTGATTGGATTTGCCTTTGGTGAATTGGATATCTGGGGATGCATTTTGTTTAAGTGTCTTTTCATTTTATTTTCTGTCTTTTTTTAGTTTAATTCCTGGGATGATGCTTGTAAACTGCCTATGGTGGGTTGCTTTGTTACTAGTATTTAGGACCCTAATGTGGTGACTGCATCTCTGAGGTATATTTCAGGTGTAGCTGGTTTTTGGGTTTTGTATCTGTTGGAAGATCTTACCTTTTCTGTTTGTTGGCGATGATAAGTTGTTACTTGTTTGGCCTAGTCCCTAATTCTTTGGCACTGTGCCATAGTATTTTCTCTGACCCTTAGTCAATCTCAGTCATAGAATGCCAGGACCAACAGCTGTTTAGAACAATTATATCAATTTTGGCTATAATGGTAAGAATAGCTTAAAACATAGTCTAGAAATTGACAAAGTAAGCTAACCCTTAATTTGCTACTTTTAATCATATGAACTAGATTTGTGACTATATAACAAAATGTAAAACAAACTAGAAAATTATATGCAGTATATAAGTCCTTAATGTGTCAATTTTGCCCTTGGGGATTAAAATTTAAAATGGATTATGGAGAATAGAGAAGTAGAAAAGGAGGAAGAGATTAGAAGTAAGGTTAGAGGACAAAGGTAGATCATACCAACTTTGGGAAACTGGTGCAGAAGACTGAAGGAAAAGAGAGATGAAAGAGGTAAAAAAGAACAGAACAGAACCACACCCACAAAGAGTTTAGGAACCACTTTCACACTCATATAAAAACAATGAAGGAGAAAGAGAAAAAAAAGAAAGAAAGAGAAACAGTCCACCTACCAGATTCTCTCTAGTTTCACTAGTAGACAATCTGTGGAGACAGAGTCCCAAATTATGGAGACCTATCCCAGCAAGCCAGGAGTAGCTTTTTGGCAGGGTTGTGGATAATCTCAGCAGGCCTGCCCCGAGACCAGACTCACTGGGCTTGCCACAATCCAAGCAATTTCAATGGGTCTGAGAATAGCTGGGAGCTACTGAGTGAAGCCAACAGCAGTTTTGGGTTCTAAATTCAGCCAGCCCATCTCCAGAATGGCTCCTGACTAGTCTCTCAGCCCACACACTGGAAGGGGCCACAGAGTCTGGCTATCCCCTACTGATAGCAGCCCATACATGACGCTGGTTCACAGGGAGGGCTTGCTTCTTGTTAATTTCTTGTTCTCTTACCCTGTTGTCTGAGAATGGCACTGACTCATGGAAAAAGGTTAGGGTCTGGCTGTTCCAATAGCAGTGGTGGCCTGCACATGGTGCTGGTTTGCAGGGAGGGCTTGCTTTTTGTTGGTTTCTTGTTCTCTTCCCCTGCAGTCCATGAATAGTGCTGACTCACAGGGAAAGGCTACAGTCTGGTTTAAAATTTACATCCTTAAGTGTAATTTGGTTCCATAAATTGTGCATATCCATTATTCAATGGTTACGTTTCTTTAAATTTATCCTAAGGAGACAGTGGACAAGTATGCAAAGATGTATATACAAAAATAATAAGAATGTTGGAAATAACTAAAATACTACAAATAAAACCCCAAAAGGTAAATTCACTCACTCAACAAATGTATAAATGTTAACTGTGTATAGAGAACTCTTCTAAATATCAGGGATTAAGCAGTAGCTAAAAAAGAAAAAAAAAATCCCTGTCTTTATGGAGTTCACATTCTAATGGAGGGAATTAGGCAATAAACAAATGAAAAACATATGTTTTATATCAGGTAGTGCCATATGCGAAAGTTAAAAACATAGAAGGGTGGACATAGTGGTACACAACTATAGTCCCACCACTCAGAAAGCTGAGACCAGAGGAGCGCCACAAGCTCTAGGCCAGCCTGGGCTACATAATGAACTCAAGGCCAGCCTGAATTACATGTGAGACCCTGTCTCAATAAATAAGTAAATAACAGCAGTAAAAAATGGAGACAAGGAGGAGGGACAAATTTTAAATAAGAGGTTTAGCAATGATACTATTGATTATAGATAAAGTAAGTGCATTAGATATTAGAGAAGAAAATGCGAGCCAGGTGTGGTGGCACACACTTGTGATACCAGTACTGGTAGCGGGGGGCTGAGGCAGGAAGATGGCTATGAGTTTGAGGCCAGCCTAGGCTACATAAACAAGTTCAAGGCCAGCATGAATTACAAAATGAGATCCTGTCTCAAAAAAAAAAAAAATAGAAAAAGAAAACGCATTAGGATCTAGCCACTCACTGAAACATAATTTGGCTATTTATTTTAGTCTTAAACTCACTATGGAGTCCTGAATTCACTATTCCAGTACGAACTCATGGCAATCCTCCTGCTTCAGCCTCCTGGGTGCTGGGATTACTTACAGGTATGCGCCATCACACTTCTTTTATTCTGTATTTATTGACATGGAAAGATGTTCCCAACATTCAATCAAGTTTTTTTTTAACTGCTAAACAGTATTAAGGGGAAAAACAGTCTGAAGGCATGATTCATTGATATAAAATTACACATGTGTACAGGCTTAACCTGTAAGAAAGGAACAACCATGAAGAAACTGGTAATACTAAGCCAGAGTCCAGGCTGAATGCCAAGCAAGTGTGTTCAACTGCTCACTCATCCTGTTCCCCACTCCTATACTTTGTTTCAGAAAGACTTTAAAGACTGCAGATCCACACAGCCCCTGAAGATCTTTAACTTTCCCCATTCTTCCTCATTCTTTTTCTCTTCTGGCAGAGAAGCCATATCACCAAGATGGTGAAAAGGGGGTACAAGGAGGATGGAAGGAAGCTGGGCAGGGTGGCGTATGCCTATTAATTCCAGCATTTGGGAGGCTGGACAGAAGAATCACTGAGGCCAGCCTGTACTACAAAGCAAGGAAGGGGAAATGAGGAGGGGAAGAGGAAGGGAGGGAAGCAGGATGGACGGAATCCCTTGCTGGAGCTGGATGAGATTTGTCTTACAGTAAATGGAAATCTGTGGGACCTGAAGCAAGGTTACTAGACTCAGTTTCCTTATTTCATCCCCTACCAAACCCAGAATTCCTTGCAGGGAACAAGACCCATTCATCACAGGGAGAGGATAGGCCACAGCAGACTAGAGCTCTATCCCTTGCACACAAGTACCTGCAATCTCTCTATAAACAGAAATGATAGATCTGAGCTCTCTTTGTCCCCTACATTGGCCTGTACTCTAGTCCTGCTCCCATGATTTATCTTGGCTCAGTTAACTCATGCTGCCTTGCCATGGCTACCTGAGAGATGCAAAAACTCAGCCATTAAGTTTAGAGCCTGGCATGGTACACATCTGTAATCCCAGCACTTGGGAGGCTGAGGCAGGAGGACTGCCATGAGTTCAAGGTCAGCCTGGACTACATAGTAGGTTCAAGGCTAGCCTGCACTACCTAGTAAGACTGTCTCAAAAAGACCAAAAAAAGGCTTCTGTGCAACCTTGGCCCATGCATCACCATCTCCATCACATTGGGCACCACTTTACACCACTGTGCAGTAGCAGTTGCTGCTCGTGCTATGACTGCCAGCCTCATCACCACTGTCCAGTCAGTTTGCTGTTATTCTCATGGGTCACATGAGACAGATAAGGAGTTTGATGCTTGCTTCGTGACATACTTGAACAAGCCAAACATAGATGCCTAGGAGTTGTGTAAAGGGATAAACACACTTTCTGGCTATGATCTGTTCCAGAACCCAAAATCACGGATGCTGCTTTGTAGGCATGACTTTGCTAGTGCCATTCAGATCCTAGGGGTAGTTAAGGACACAGCAGGACCTCATAAGGCAACCTACCCCTATGTCATTCAGGAACTGAGACCAACTCTGAATGAACTGGGAATCTCCACTCCAGAAGAGCTGGGCGTTGACAAAGTGTAACCCACAGACAGTGCTACTTGATTGTAAACAATCTCCTAGAAATGCTGATGATAACATATTACTTTATTTGAACTAGTTTTCCTTTATTGAGTACCAAGCCAAGTGATGGTAACCTGAACTTTAATAAATGGGAAATGAGTTTGAACTAGAAAAAAAAAAAAGAAAAAGAAAGAAAGAGGGCCAGGGGTTTAGCTCAGTGGTCTAAGTGCCTGCTTGGCAAACTCGAGGTCGTGAGTTCAATCCCTGCACCAAAAACAAGAAAAGAAAGAAAGAAAGAAAGAAAGACAGACAGACAGACAGACAGACAGACCATCCGTCCTTACCAAGGAAAGCAGCCTAAGCCCAGCTACTTGGGAGGCTGAGACAACCGAACTCATGAATTCAAGGCCTGCCTAGGCAACTTAGCTAGAACCTGTCTTGAAAAAACAAAGTTTTTGTTTCTTTGTTTTATTTTTTGGTTTTTTGAGAAACCAGTGTGAACTTCAGTGAAAATAAAGTGCAGGTTCCCTAGTATTATCCATTACCCTGTCATAAAGTTACAGCTGGCTTACTTGGATTAATCGATTCTGATCTGGACTCTGTCTGCCCATGGTGTATACCAATGACAGCACAGACACACCTTAAAAGGGCATTTCTTATTTTCTTTCTCTTTTTTTTTTTGTTCTTGTTTGTTTCTTCATTGTTTTTTCCAGCTTTTTTCTTGTTGTTCTGTTCTGTTCTGTTCTTGTTTTTATTTCTTTCTTCTCTCTTTCCCTCCTATCTTCCCCAAAGTTTGCATGATCTTCCTTTGACCTCCAGCCTTGCTTATAAGCTCTTCTTCTTTTTCTTCTCCTTCTTCTACTCCTTTTCCTTCTCCTCCTCCTCCGTCTTCTTCTTCTTCCATTTCTCTACTGTTTCTCCCAACTCCATTTAAATTTTTTCCCCTGGGGCTGGGGATTTAGCTCAGTGGCATAAGCACCTGCCTTGCTAGCAGGCGGTCGTGAGTTCGATCCCTGGTACCAATAAAAATGAAAAAGACAAAAAAAAAAAAAAAAATTTAAAAAAAAATTTTTTCCCCTGAGAGTAAAATTGCCATATGGAGGGCTCATTTATGCATGCAATTTTCTGGTTCATTTTTTTGTATTTTAAAGAGAATGAAACAAAACAAACCAATAAAATGAAACAAAACAAAACAATGAGAATGATATTGGATTTCAAAAACAAGACAGTATGAAATCAACAATAGTTACTATACTGTACACTGTTACCCTCCAAACAATTGCTCAGATTACCAGATACAGAGCACTAAGTTGTTTCTTTACTTCAGGTGCTATCATTTCAGAAATTTAAGGTGTGTAACTTCTAATTCCTTTTTGTCTATGTCTCCTGGACTTGTTCTGAGTGGGCTGAAGGTCTGAGATTATATCCTGCTTTTCCATCTTGACATTTTCCTGTGTTTTTCCAAATCAGCTAGTTGCTAAATCCTGAGTGCTTCCTGCACTAGCTACCTGTTCCGCGGTGCCAAGGGACTGAACTAGGCATCTAGGTTCCTCTGATCTGAGGTTCCCAAGGGTGGCAGAGAGGTGCATAACACAGCTCACCGATGCTCCCCTGATGGCAGCAAGTCCTCAAGCAAGTAACTTCTTCTCCTTCGGGCCCATGGCAGAGGGCTCACTAGGCGGGGACCCAGCCCTGACATTGTGGGGCATCAAGGCATCTTTGGTTCATTTTAGATTTTGTTAAGATAACCACAAATATAGTTCAAATGATTAAAGGCAGAAAATTAAGAGTTGCCTCAGTTTGTCATTTTCTAGGCTATGTTTGATGCTATTGTTATTACATTGCTTTAGCCAAAGCAACACAATTGAAAGACATTCTAGAAAGAGATAACAAGGATTACAACTCCATGAACATCAACAGAATTAAACCATCAGGCAAAGTGACATAATTGTTCTAACCAGTTGTTCTTCCTGATATACCAAAACTGAGATTATCTAAAGGTCATAAAAAATAATACTACAGGCCAGTGCCAAAGAACTAGACTAGGCCAAGTAGGCAGCAGCTTCTCATCCCCAATAAATTGAAGAAGTAGGATCATACAACAGACTCATCACCCAAAGCCAGCTACACCAGGAAGCCAACTCTGAGAAGCAGTTATTTCCTAAGAGTTTTAAGTACTAGCAATAAAGCTACTTGCCAAAGGCAATTTATAAACATCAACCAAGGAATTAAACTAAAATATATAAATGTATAGAAAGTGAGCAGACACTTAAGACACAACCCTGCACTTTCAGCTCATCAAAGGCAAACCCTTAGCCTGGTGCGGTGATCCACTCCTGTAACCCCAACACTCAGGAGGCTAAAGCAGGAGGATCATGGAGGGTTCAAGACCAGCCTGGGCTACAAAGTGAGCCAAGGCCAGCCTGAACTACTTAGTAAGACCCTGTCTTAGAAAAAAAAAAAAAAGGCAAACCCATGGGGCAATGAAGTGGAACAATCTGACAAACACCCACCTGGGCTCTCTGAAGTAGTAACAGTAGAAGTAACAATCCAGATGAACGAGGGACTAAAAAAAATCAAATCAGAATAATCTCTCAGATTACTACAGAGATGGTGTCCATAAGGAAAGACATGCTTGGGGACTCTAGAGCAGATACAGAAAACAAAAAATAAAGAAGCTTAGGAAAATGATGGAAACCATAAATGTCCAACACAGGAAAAATATGGAATCCATGAGACAGATTCAAACCAATATCCAGATTAAAAATTCCATTGAGCCAGGGATTTAGCTCAATGTCACAAGTGCCTTCCTGGCAAGCATGAGGTCATGAATTTAATCCCTAGAACAACAACAACAACAAAAATTCCATTGAAAGTATACACAGCACAATGAGCCAATGTGAGAAAAAAATTTCAAATATAGAAGATAGGATTGTGTTTAACAATCATGAAAAGAAAGATTTCTTAAAAACAGCAGCGAACCATAAAAAATCAACCCAGCAGCTGCTAGATAATGCAAAGAATAACAACATAATTTTGATTGGAGTCAATGAAAAAACAGATTGCACAAATGACATAGAAAAAAAAAAAAAAACTACCCACAGAAGTATATAACTAAGGGGCTGGGGATTTAGCTCAGCGGCATAAGCGCCTGCCTTGCAAGCAGGCAGCCATGAGTTCGATCGCTGGTACCGATAAAAAAGGAAAAAGACGGGGCTGGGGATTTAGCTCAGCGGCATAAGTGCCTGCCTTGTAAGCAGACAGTCGTGAGTTCGATCCCTGGTACCGATAAAAAAGGAAAAAGGCCAAAAATAAAATAAAATTTAAAAAAAAAAAAAAGGAAAAAGACAAAAAAAAAATTTAAAAAAAAAAGTATATAACTAAAAAACTCCCAAGCAGGGAAAAAGAATTTGACACATAGGAAAGGCATGTTGAACTCCAATTAGCTATGATCAAAAAAAGAAAAAAAATCGAGTTCGCCTCCCTGGTAAATGGCTGTGGTGTGGAAGACTGCAGCCTTTCCAGGGGGAAAACCACCAGTGTCTCCTGAAATCCACACCATGTTGGAACTTAGGACACTGAGAAACCAAGCAACCAGCTCACCTCCCTGGTAAGCGGCTGTGGTGTGGCAGGCTGCAGCTCCTCCAGGGGGAGAACCACCAGTGTCTCCTGAGATCCGTGCCATGTTGGAATTTAGGGTGCTGGGAAACCAAGCAACCAGCTCGCCTCCCTGCTAAGCAATAGTGAACCTACTGGTGCATGGGCTGAGAGCCAAATATCCCACTTCCCCTGCCCTCTGTTAGCAAATGGGAACCAGAGATCAGAGCATCTCTTGGGAGGTTGGCCATATGCCATATAGCAAATAAGGGGGATTTCCTTCTACCATCTCTTTGAAGGCAAATATTTTTACTACTGTTTTTGCTTTATTCTGGTTAATGGTACTACTCTATTCAATATTCTGTTTTAAAAGTTCTATAATATTCTGTATTTCATTTTATTTTGCTATACTTGATTAAAAGAACAACTATTGTGAAGATAACAAGATATACTGTGATACCTATTACTGTTATCCCGGTAACCTGCTGTGAAGTTCTATACCAATTTTCCTACACTGTTTCAATTGGTTTTGTTCTGTCTTGTTCTGTTGTATTTTACTACCTTCGAAATAATTTTAAAAATCTAAAGTAAGGCATATAACAGTCACGATTCTAGAAATTCAACACAAGCACACTCCTGTAATCCCAGCACTTGGAAGGCTGAGGCAGGCGGATCATTGCAGGTTCAAGACCAGCCTGGGCTACAAAATCAGCCCATGGCCAGCCTGAACTGCATAGTGAAACCTTGTCTCAGAAAGACAAATAAATAAACAAATGCAAGCTGTTGGAGAATAGAAACAAATCATTTATAAAAGAAAGCCCAACAAAATTACAGAGCCTGGGACTGGGGATTTAGCTCAGCGGCATAAGTACCTGCCTGGCAAGTGCTAGGTCATGTGTTCGATCCCTGGTACAAAAAAAAAAAAAAATCACAGAGATTTCTCAACATAAACTCTCAAGTAAAAGGAGCTTGGAGGAAAGTATTTCAAGCCCCAAAAGAAAACAACCTCCACCACACCTGTAATCCCAGCATTTGGGAGGTTGAGGCAAGAGAACTGCTATGAGTTCAAGGCCTGCCTGGGTTACAAGGTGAGTTCAAGACCAGCCTGAACCATACAGTGAAACATTGCCTCAAAAAACAAACAAACCCCACTCCTCCAACCCAGACTGATGTACTCCGTAGAAATGATCTTTCAAAATTGATGGAGAAAGCTGGGTGTGGTGGTGCACACTTATAATTACAGCACTTGGGAAGCTGAAACATGGGGATCACTGCAAATTCAGGATCACCCTGGGCTAGCTAGTGAGTGTAAAGCCAGCCTGAACTGCATAGTGAGACCCTGTTTCAAAAAGACAACAAAAATCGATGGAGAAATAAGATATTGTCACAATGGCAAAGAACACCTGAAGAAATTCATGAACAACAAACCAGTACACCAAAACATTCTGAAGGACATTCTAGAAAGAGATAACAAAGATTACAACTCCATGAACCCCAACAGAATGAAACCATAAGACAAGGCAAACAATTAAACAGAAGGGGAGAAAGGGAGCCAATAACAGGAAAATAACATGAAAAGGATGTCAATATATATCAGTTATAACTTTCAATGTTAAAGGTCTAAGAAAACAGGCTGGCAGAATGGATGAAGAAGCAAGAACCAAAATATGCTACATACAAGAAATAATACACTGCATACAAAAAACATTTAATTCAAAATGAAATTTATAGACTCAAGAGTCAAAGGATGGAAAACAATACTCCATGTGACAGAAACCTAGAAAAAAGCAGGGGTAGCTAATTTATTTACACGTAAAGTGGATTTCAAGCCAAGATTAACTAAGAGAGACAGAAAAATTCACTACACCCTTGTATAGGGAACAATCCAAGAGGAAGAGATAACAATCATAAATATATATTCACCAAATACCAATGCACTCAACTATATAAAACAAATATTACCAGACATGAAAAATGAAATAAGCAGTAACACAATTGTAATGGGAGACTTCAATACCCCACTGTCACAAATAGAAAGATCAACTTGGCTGGGGATTTAGCTCAATGGCATAAGCGCCTGCCTTGCAAGCAGGCAGTCGTGAGTTCAATCCCTGGTACAGATAAAAACGAAAAAAAGACAAAAAAAAAAAAAAAGAAAGATCAACTAGACAAAAAATCAACAATGAAATATTAGAACTGAACCAAACTTTTGAACAAATGTACAAATGTAGATGTCTACAGACTGTTCACTCCAGAATATCAGAATACACATTCTTTTCAGCTGCACACAGGTCATATACTAACTCAAAGAACATGCTTAAGTATATGCAAAGGAACTGAAATTAATCCATGCACATGATCAGACCATAGTGCAATGAAACTGGAAATCAATGATAAAAAACCCACAAGAACTTCATAAACACATGGAAATTAAATAACACTCTCTTGAACACCAATAGAATACAGATGAAATTAAAGAACAAATGAGAGAGCTTCTACAATTAAAGAATAATGCTAGTACAACATATAGAAACTTATGCAACACATTGAAAACAGTCCTATGAAGGAAATTTACAGCAGTGAGTTCTCATATCAGGAAAACAGAGCAAGTTCAAATAAATAACCTAATGTTGAATCTCAGACTTCTAGAAAAAGAAGAGCAAGTCAGGCTGGGGACTTAGCTAGGTGGTATAAGCATCTGCCTGGCAAGTGTAAGGTCATGAGTTCGATCCCCAGTACAAAAAAAAAAAGAAGAAGAAAAAGAAGAGCAAGTCAAACCCAAAGCTCATTAAGAGGGAAGAAATTATATAGATCAGCGCAGAAATTAATGCAATGGAGACTAAGAAAACAATACAAAGACAAAATGAATCAAAGAGTTGGTTCTTTGAAAGATTAAAATTTGGGGCTAGGGATTTAGCTCAGTGGCATAAGCACCTGCCTTGCAAACAGGCAGTCCTGAGTTCAATCCCTGGTACCGAAAAAAAAAAAGAAAGATTAAAATTGACAAACTCTTAGCCAACATTATCAATAAAAAAAAAGAAAGAAAGACTCAAATCCATGGAATTAGGAATGAAAAGGATGAAATCACAACAGATTCTACAGAAATTTATATACTTTTTTGGGGGGGGTACCATGGATCAAACTCACAACCTCACGCTTGCCAGGCAGGTGCTTATGCTGTGGAGCTAAACTCTCAGCCCAGTCCTACAGAAATTCAGAACATTGTCTATACTTATTTCAAGAATTTGTGTTCTAATAAAATGGAAAACACAGAAGAAATGGACAGATTCCTAGAAACATATGAATTACCAAAGATGAACACAACAATTTTAAATAAATCAGTATCAGTCAATGAAATTGAAGATGTAATTAAAAACCTACAAAAGAAAGCCCACACCCTGACAGATTCACTGCTGAATTCTACAAGAAATTTAGAGAAAACTTAATGCTGCTACTTCTCAAACTCTTTAATGAAAATGAATGAGAATCCATACTCCCAAATTCATTCCTAGAAGCGCTACCCTGGGATACCCTAGGATACCAAAATCAGGGAAGGATTCAACCAAGAAAGAAAACTATAGGACAGTCTCCCTAATGAGCATAGATGTAAAAAAAAGATCACACACTGTGACCAAGTAGGATTCATACAAGGGATGCAGGGATGTTCAACATACACAAATCAATAAATGTAATGTACCGCATTAATAGAGTCAAGGACAAAAATCATACTATCATTTCAATAAATGTAGAAAAAGTATATGACAAAATCCAACACCCACTTGTGATAAAAACCTTTTTTTTTTTTTTTGTCTTTTTGAGACACGGTCTCACTCTGCAGTTTAGGCTGGACTTGGGCTCACTTTGTAGCCCAGGCTGGTCTCAAACTTGCCACAATCCACCTGCCTCAGCCTCCCAAGTGCTGGGATTACAGGAGTGCACCACTATGCCCAGCTGTGATAAAAGTCTTAT